TTTGTGTCCAGAAAAAGACTTGAAACGAGTCTTGGAAATTCCCTGTTTGATGTTCCAGTAAAACAAGTTGTAAAGATTATTGAAGGCAGAGAGAAAATGCTGTCACGTAAACAAGGTTTCAGTAAAGGAAATCTTTTATAAAAAAAAAAATTGCACAAATAGATGATGGGAAACATCCATCCCCAAACAGTCCCGAAATCCCGAGAGGAAACCGTAGCTTTTCCCTGACAGAGTGAAGCTTTGCTTCGCCTGCCTGCAGAGGAAACGGCTCTTCAGTTGTGTCAGATACGGCTTCTGCTCCGTAAAATCAGAATTACCGCTTCTCAGACGCGCTGGCGGTGGTCGATGACCCTCGCTTGAGCTCAAAGCCAGCCAGTTCAGAGGGCTGCCATCTCTGCGTGTGCCTCCTTCTTCTGACCATCGAGACCTTTAATTTTTAAGAGCAGTTAATGTACGTAGCTGCTTCCTTTTTTTAAGAGCAGCTCAAGCTTAAACGTTATCTTTTTTCCTGCTGGGGGGAGGGCAGTTTGATGGTCTTCAAAATCACCAAATAGTCCATTTAGTTGCGTTTGGAGTTTGAGTGTTTTGATAGGAAATTCATAAATTTGCACATTTGAAATGATACAGGGGGAGGTACTAAATTAGAGAATCTTTTAATTGCAGAAGATTGCGTCTTGTTTCAAAGAGCAATTGATGTTGTTGGAAATGTGGATAGCATCTCTGGTTTTCCAGATCAAATTTTCCACTCCGAATTAACAATGCTTTCTGTCACCTTCTTTCCTTACTCTTGAAGCTTGATGTCCTGTGGATTTATGTGTTTGCATAGGTTGATGCTGGGATCGGAGACCTGAGTTGATTTTTTAGGCTCATTAATAGAGTATTTCTCTTCCATCGTCAAGCTGCTTCTGTTTTGAAAGTTGAACACCACCTGTATTTAAGACTGAATTCCAGTTCAGAGAGGACAAACTCAAAGCTGCTGGAGATGTTTACTCGTGGCCTCCAGCGTCAGTGGAAGCTGAGCTGAAGGGTTGCCTCAGAGAAGAGCGTAAGCCATGGGAGAAGTCACTTGGGTACGAGGCAGTTCAACACCTGCACAAAATAACCTGTGTGGGTTATGGCCCTGGGACTGAATTTCAGCAGAGCTGTCCCGATTCCCGTGCGCCGGAGCCGGCTGCGCGGTGGGACCCATCGCACGGAGCTGTCGTGGGAATCCGCGGTTGCGTGTCCAAGCGCACGGTGGCCCAGATGCCAAAGCACTGGATTTGGTTTTGTGAACTAGATGTGGTGGGTGCAGGATGACCTGCCTAAGACTTTTCCTAGTGCAGACAACTTTAATTAATGTTTATGCTCTGCTGGCTACTAAGGAAGAAGAGCTGGGCTTCAGAAAGCCATTGATGTCAGGACAGTCTCATCTGTTTGTCATGCTAGTTCAGGAAAATGCTTCATTGCTCAAAGAGGAAGGGGAGAACTTCTTGTTCCTGCCCAGCCAGGACACAAACCACCCCACCAAACTCGGCCGAGCTCGGAGCCCGGTGCGGCAAGGCGCGGGGGAAAGCCATGGCTCTTGCTGCACCCTCGGCACTTGCAAGCAGTCGGAGGCTGTAGGTGGTGGGCGTGACCATAACCCCAGTTCGTTAAGCTTTTATTGGAAGGAACTTGCCCAGAAGTGAACGTTTCAGATGCTGGCCCGTTTGGTGACCCTGTCGAGGCGCTGGCAGCCCGCTGAAGGGCTGCTCCGTGTGTCTGCGCGCGGCAGGGTGACCGGCACCGCGGAGGGCTGGCTGCGGGGGGAGAGCCGCTCGGCTCTCGCGGCACGGGCGGGGGTTTTTGTAAATTCTGCAGAATAACTGGAGATTCCCTGCCCCTCGAAAAACCCCAAAGCCTGGAGATTTCCTGTGATTCATGAAACCCGGGGCCGGTCGTTATCCAGCGCTGCCCTCCCATTTCCAGGGCCAATCCTTTCCTTCCTCTGCTTTTTTACATGTGAAGTTAGAACAATATCTTAAGCTCTGATCAAAGGTGTCCACGGTTCCTGGTGATACTGCAGATAAAGAGGGAGGGGTGTTTGGGGGTGGGAGCTGTTCCTCTGTTTACTGGGTGAGGGTGAAAACACGCCCCAAACCAGTGTCGCAGGATGAGCGTCCCTGGCTGGCTTTGGTCGTGCAGGAGGTGGGGAAAGAAAAGTGCTTTGGTTGAGGTTGTTTCTGCCTCTTGTCAAGGCGATGCACACCCCTCTCCCCCTGAGAGCCGAGACTGGCTTCGGCTGATGTCTTCTGTGCTGGGCTCGTGGTGCGTCTCAGCACACAGGCAGGGCAGGCAGGACTCAGCGTTGTGAGAGCGAAGCACGGCTTCGTCGCGTGTCCGCCAGGCCCTGGCCCGCGCA